AACTGCTAACATGATTAACAATATTCTTGCCGATTTAGTCAAAACTAGTTATCTCAAACAGAAACAATATGACTATCTGTCTGCCAAACCTGATTGTCGCGAGAGACATTTGTACACTTTGCCTAAAATCCATAAGAATCCAACCAAGGAGTGGTTTATCTCGAATAAAATCCCTAAAGGCCGTCCGATTATATCTGACTGTGGTAGTGAGTTATATGCAGTGTCATAATACATTGATCATTTCTTACTACCTCTAGCATGTCAACATCGTGCCTACCTTAAAGACACAACCGATTTTGTCAATAAAATAAAAAATCTTTGAGTTCCCTCTAATGCTATTTTAATTTCTATCGACGTTTCTTCTATGTATACTAATATCGATAACACTACTGGTTTAACGGCAGTTCGTAAAGCTTTTAATAGAAACCCAGATCCAAACAGACCCGACGATGCAAATCTACAACTTTTAGAGATTTGTCTTAGTCGAAACGATTTCACATTTAATGGTAAAACATATTTACAAACTTCAGGGACAGCAAGGGGCAAACGATTCGCCTCTTCGTACGCAAACCTTTTCATGGCAGAATGGGAACGTGAGGTGTTGCCCCCGTCCATTTGACCCACTTTTTTACGGACGCTTTTTGGATGACATTTTTATGGTTTGGACTTATTCTATCAAACAGTTTTGGGAATTCTTTGAAATTCTCAACAACCACCATCCTTCTATCAAACTAACTGCAAACGTGAGTGAAAAAAGCATATACTTTCTCGATACCACAGTTTTTAAGGGAGATTCCATAGCAGAAACAAATAAACTGGATATTAAAGTGTATTTCAAAGAAACTGATACTCATCAACTCTTGCACAAGAGCTCCTTTCACCCAAAACATACCTTTTCTGGTATAATTAAGTCACAAGTTTTACGATTTCATCGAATTTGTACAAGATCTTCTGATTTCAACCAAGCCTGTACATTTGTTTTCTCAAAACTGAAAGAGCGTGGATACTCTAAACGATTTTTACGAAACATAAAAAATTCCACCTTAGCACAGATAGCAGCTAAAAACAGACTTTATGCAGAAGTACCTCCAGGTTTAAGAAGTGCTCCATGTTTGTCCAGTAGATGCAAAACATGTCCCTTTATATCAGAAACTCATTATTTTGTAAGCAACTCTACAAATAAAAGGTACCCGATCCAGGAACATCTAACATGTGAACACTCGAATGTAATATATTTAATTTCATGCAAGAAATGCCCCAAACAATATGTAGGAGAAACTAAGAATAATTTACAAACTCGCTTTAATGCTCATAGGTCAGACATCAAATTAAAGAAAGACAAGCCTGTTTCTAATCATTTCAACCTCGACGACCATTCAATAGACGATCTCACCCTAATCCCAATTGAGCGGATAGAAATTGACTTGCCCGAAGATGAAACTACCAAATTCCGTCAATCTAGAGAAGGCCCATTGGATTGAGACATTGAATACAGCAAGACATATAGAACTAAATATTCATCATAATGTAGGCATAGCACCCTTTGCTGTCCCGTTTAATACAACCAGCAATCGAGCAAACAAAATAGTTCATGCCCACTATAAGAGCCTTCAAGAGAAATTCCCCCATGTCTATAAGCAGAAAATGATAGTTGCATATTCAAAAAAACAAGAACTTAAATGATAATATTGTTCATAGTAAACTAAAAACAATCAGTACATGACAGATACTATACTTCTTATTTTTTCTAATTTCAGATCAGAATATGAACAGAAGAAAACCCAAAATCAAGACCCTTAATCCTAATTTCTAAATAAAGTGTCTTCTCCACCCTAGGCCTGTACATTTGGGAGAATCAAACCCTCCCTTCCCCGAAACCTAACCCTATGAAATGTCACAAATGGAACTTATGTATTTAAAACGGTTGCAAACCCTCAACATATTCCTAACAAGAAATGTCATACTCTTTTCAGCTATTAAATTTATTTAAAACTGTTGCGAACCCCATGCCTTTCATGCTCCAGCTCGGCACTTCATAATAATTGCAAAAATAGCGTAATTTTAGCTAGAAATAGCTGAAAATAGAGCTGAAAATAGCAGACTGGGTACTTAGAATAATTTTAAATATTTTCTATAATTTACCTAGAAATAGCTGAAAATTGAGTCGAAAATAAAAAAGTGTGATTTTCTAAGATAGAAGCTATTTTGGCGCTATTCTCGAGCTATTTTCTATTTTAAGTGCTAAACTCAGATCCTGCACCTTCATGAAAATTTACCAGAAAAACGACAGAGCAGTAAAAAATTTAAAAAGCGAGTTATAGCATGGATCTAAAATCATAACTGTCAACCGACTTTTAAAATTTCATAGCTGATTATGGCTTAGTCTGCATAGTAGAAACCAAAGCAAGTAACTGGGATGAACTTGAAATCGAAAGTTTTACAGTTAAAATGAATTCAAGAAAGGGAGCCCAAAAGAGTTCTGGGGGAGTGGCCATTTAAATAAAGGATCATCTTACTGACGTTCTTAAGATATTTAAAGCTGATAGTGATTTCTCGATGTGGTATTCATTCGACGAGAAAATTTTAGGACATAATATTGTATTTTGTGTTGCTAACATACCCCCAATCAACTCAGACCAGAACAAGTGAATATGATGACTTCTTATTGCCAGACGACTATACAGAAGATGTTGAAGATTTAAATTTCTACATTAAAAATAGGTTCGAACAAAATACAGAAATGGTTTCATACGGATGAGCACTAGAAGGCAGTAATAAGAATACTGTTTAAGCTTCTTCCATTAACACTTTACCACCAAGAAATACTGATACCAGATAAAAACGCACCAAACAACAAGAGACTGAATTTGTGGGCAGTAATGATAGTAATGAGGTGAACTCTCTTGTTACTGAGCTATCATCTATAACCGCCATCTCTTTTGACCAATCCATGATAAATCAATTTGTTGGAAAATGCACCTTATTACATTTCAACTAGAATTGCTCTAGAAACTAAACTTAACAGTGAATTACAAAAAGAACTAACAAATATTAAACCTTTATTTCAATCTTCCATATGGAAATTTGAGTGCTAAAGATGCTTCTATTACTACTAATATTGATTCAATTATTTCAAAACCTGTATTAATAAATGATGGAATAATTCTTGGGAGAGCTATTATAGATAATAAAAATTATCCATATTTTGGTTCACTTAATTTAGTTACCTAAAAATGGAACTGTTTGAAAGTAGTAGACAACAATACATGATAGACAAACAAAATGAGTTAAAAGTAAAACTAGAACAGTACAATAAATATGGGAAAACATGGAGTAGAACTGATTCTGTTTTTAAAACATTAAGCACAATTCTAACAGTAGGAGTAACAGTGGCAACAGCCGTGGATTAATGCTTCCAGAAATTATCCTAACTATATTAGCTGCATTCACTGCTGTTCAAACTTCATCTTACTTTAGGTTTTACATCAAAAAAAAATATTATTATAAACAGAAAACAGATATTATCTTAAATGCCTATCTTAATAAATTGTTTATATTTTTCAAAAGATCAAGAGAAGATAAGAACATAACAGTTCAAGAACAAAAAAAATTCAATGAAGTTTTAGATAAATTTGATGTAGAAATGTCATCAATAAAAGTGACAAAAATATAATTATAAATATATACTTAATTATAGACGATGAAACATTCATAGAAAACATCCTTTTTCCAATCTTATCAAGGCTGTTTGTGATAAATTTTTAACATTTAAAGGTCAAATTGAAATAGATGGAAAGATATTTCAGGAATGAGAATACAAACAAGATATGAGACTTCTTGCTTTCAATGCCAAAACTTTTCTTAATATCTTTTCAAATATGGATGTCAATTCTGATGCCGCGAATTGGTGTTTTACAGGAAAAATAATTTTACTTACAGACAATTTCAAACCAATAAAAAGATCAAAAGTTGGTAGAGGAACTGATCTACTTAAAAAGATAAATGAATATGTAGATAAAAATTGTTATATACCAACAGATGGTAACTGTTTTATCAAATGTGTAAATCTTGTTTGAACAAAGATTTAACATTTGAGTTTCAAGGTTCTATCAACAGTTTATCAAAAGCAAATGGAAAAGGAGTAATGACAACTGCTAGAATTTATGAATTCAATATGAAACGTGATACTTCATTTCAAATTTATAATCCCAAAAATAGACATTTATATCCCAGAGATGTATACGATCCATTAGATTGGGTTTTATATTTACACAGCTCACATTTCTGTCTTAAGAAAAGAAGTGAAAAAAGTTCAGGCATCAAAGAAATAGAAGAGAATTATGAACAAATATGGAAAACTTGTAGCGATGATAATGCCGTAACACAAGTGCTTTCAGGAGGAGTGACGATGCGTGGGATTGCGAAACCTATACTGAAAATGAAATGCACAAAGCAATTCCTTATTCCTGTACTTTAGTTAATTTATAAAATCTAAGAAAAATGTTAGATTGAATAAAACGCAACTTTCCAGATCTAAATCCTATTGATAACATTTCAGAAAATTTTTACAATGAACTAATGAATATAGTAAAAATATTTGTGGGTAAAGATTTTATAGATCAAATGTTTCAATATTTTAGTCAATATGATAGAAAAAGATTAACATTGATTTCTCATAACAGTAGTGGTTTTGATAACTGGATTGTACTTAAAAACGCAGTAAAGCTATCGCATTGGCTACTACAAACACAGAGAGGCATTCTGAATTTTTCCATCATCGAATCCATTCACTAGTGAAGACAGAAAGAAATAACAACCAGCAATAAAAATTATGTATTAATTTTACATGATCCTATCAACATGAAAAAACCAGTTTGGCGGCATGTGGGAATTCATCTAATCTACCCCTGAATTTGAGAAAGATCATGGTTGTAGACATTGCAAAATACACTGAAGATAATTGGGAATCTTTAAGACACGAATGGGAACCATATGCAAAAATGGATACCTTGTGTCTTGGAGCTTGTTTAGTAAAATATAATAAAGTTATGAAAGAAGCTGCAAACCAGAATATTTCCAATAATCTAACAGCTCCTTCTTTATCTTTTAAGGGTTGGTATTATTTGTATCATTACGATTAATCAATGGTTGAAAAAGAATATTACACACATCCGTTTATTAAATATTTTATCAGGCAATCTATTAAAGGAGTAAGAGTTTCATTTACAACAGATAAAATGAATGAAATTTGTAACATATTCAAGCAATATAGTGAAACAAATCATGATAACATAATTGATTTATTTTAAAGATATAGTAAAAGTAATAAAAATAAAACAGAGGTTACTTCAAAACTTAAAAAATATAAATGAGACATGTTCTAAAGTAATGGCATTTGATGCTAACGCTTTGTATGCTTCTGCTATGTCAGATTTACACCCAAAAACAGAAAGTGGTAGACCGTTTTACCAGAAGAAGAAAACGAATTTGTAAAACACTTCAATGCACAATAATATAGACCCAGAACTGCTATTCTTAAAGTCTGGTTTGAATATCCCAAAAACATGTTTTTCAGGCAAATACCAGCAAGAGATAAAATAACTTTTACGAACCAGGAAGGTAGAAAGGAAACAGGCGAATTATTAGAATATTAGATGTCATAGTGTATGAATAAAATTTTCAAACTCCACCATATAGAGATTACACTTTAATTTTGAGAGATCTAAGAAATAAATACAAAAGAGAAGGTAATATTGTGGCTAGTAATTGTATGAAATTATTAGGTAATTCTTTGTAAGATAAATCAATTCAGAAAGATGTAACTAGACATCTATGAGTGTTTACAGATTTACTGCAACTACTCCACTTAACCTGTTTAGATTTACGATTAGATTCAAACGATAATCCCAAGCCAAGAGAAGAACCTATTAACAGAATAGACCAAGCAGCGCTAAAACACGATATTCTATACAGAGATCATACAGACTTAGAATCGAGACATAAAGTGGATCAACAAATGATTAATGAAAATCCTACTTTTAAAGAAAAAGTTGAAAGAGCTATAGTCACAAGACTTTTAAAATCAAAAATCAAATTAGGCATGGGAATAAAGAATTCAGAAAAACTAAAAACTTAATATAAGTTAAAGTTTACGCCAAAGATGATATATGGTTAGCTGATTTAATTAATATGCCAGTTGAAAGAGGATATAAATATTGTTTAAACTTTATAGATTTATATACAACATATGTTTGGGTTATTCCTCTAAAAAAAAATCAGGAATGTCAGTGAAACATGCTTTCGAAACAATTATGAAACAATCTGACAGACAACCCAGAAATTTATGGTACAATTTTATAACAAAAATATGAAATCCCTTAGATTTGAAACTTAAAGTATATATAACGAAGGTAAAGCTATTGAAAGATTTAATAGAACTCTAAAAAACAAATTTTTCAAAAAGTTCACAGAATTTAATTTCTCAAAAAAGGCTTAAAATATTACCAATTGCTGTCGAAGAATATAATAACAAAATACATTCATCTATAGGTGTGACTCCTACGCAAGCCTCAAAGAATCCCAATATCATATTGTCAATTAACACACAAAACAACTTTGAAAATGAGATATCTAATTTAATTATCAAAGTTTGTATCTATAAATATAAAAGTAAATTCAAAAAAGGTTACATTGGATATTGGACCAATGAAATATTTATCATTGATAAAGTTAATAATATTTCACCACCAACTTATAATTAAGTAGATCTTCACGGTGAAGAAATCTTGTGCAGATTTTATCAAAACGAACATCAAAAAAGTGACTTTTAAAAAATGATTAGTTTCGAAGACTTCATACGAAGATATGGAACAGTTACTACAACGAACTTGCAATTAATACAGAAGATCTGGGTGTGAAGCCTTTTTTCTATTGTATGCGTGATGAAATATCATCATTGAAAAATTGGAAAAAGTTCTAAGCTATAACTAATATCCATACTTCAGATCAAAAAGGTGTTCGTCATTCTGCTTTATTCAAAGGCAATGAGGAATCAATGTATTTTTTTCATTCATTGGATAAGATCCAACTAAAGAAATAATTGATTTGAATCATCATCCAATAGAATGGTATACTTTTCAAATCCAAAAACCAGGAGATAGTTTAGGCGAACCATTTGAACAAATTATCATAAATCTAGTTAAAAAAATTTTGGTTTAGGACAATCAACCAATCCTTCTCCTACATTATCAATCAATAAATTCAAACCATATTTTGTGGATGTTATAGGAGACACACTTCAAGATGACATAGATATGAACAATTTCAAAATAGCTAATTTAAAATTTCCTCAACACAAAAAAGATGCAATAAATAAAGGTTATTTAATCCAAGCAACTAAAAGTATACATCACACAATGTCTACATTAGATAAAGATAGTAAGAGTTAATTAGAAACCATAAAAAACTTTTAGATGACAGTAAAAACAATAACAATTGGTGAATATAGGAGTTAGATGATAAAATAAAAAAAACATAAATTAGATACTTAACAATTAATTGAGGGTGGTTCAATTAGTAAAGAAGAATTAGCCAAGTTTATTGATAACAATGAATTAGAAAAAGAACTTGCTAATATTAAAACCTATATTCAACAAAAAATAAATCATATATGCAACAACTATTAGCCAATGTAGTAGATAAAACTGAGTTACAAAATCTTACTTTATTGATTTCTAAATTAGATGATAAAATAGCAAAACATAAATTAAGATACTAAACAGCTAATCGAGAGTGATATGAATGAAGATAAATTACAACATTTTATAAGAAATAAGAAAGTTGGGAAATGAAGTGGGGGTATGCCTTTAATATGCTGTCGTAAATGCTGCCATGAGCTCATATTACAGTATAACATGGTTCAATCCACCCGAGAGCTTTATATACCATAACTGGACATAGAACATTTTTAAAAAATATAAAAGGGAGGGTGTCTTGAAAACAACTTAAACTTTGATTTCTATTGGCGTTGACAGTCAGGTTAATCTAATTAGCCGATTTATCTAATAATAACCCCATGTTAAGTGAATGGATGTTATATATCAATGGAAAGCTCATAATCTCTACATTACAAAATCAAAAGATTTATTGCCATATCTCTGTTAGGGACTGAGATATAGCACTTTAAAGGCTGATATTTAGACCCCTGTAAAGTCGGAAATAGGTATCTGACCCCAAAGATCAAAAAGTCATCTGATAGACAAGGTCAAAAATTATCATCACAGTAAATATGAAGGTCATCAAAGGTCAAGGTCATGAGATATACGCCTTCAAACTTCAAAACATCCGGTCGTACACAAAAATGAGGCAAACAAAAATGGCGGCAAACATGTTACTTTCGCTACGAATTTTTTTAGTTTAAAAAGTTTGTATGAAGGCTCGTAATATAATGCATATGTTATTATTGACATAAATCAATTCCACCGGAAGTGATACCATGAAAATAACGTTTCAACACAATTTTCACATGTCGTCATCAGATGAAAATGATCATTGAAAATTGAGTTGAAACGTTATGTGCTTTGTTATTAAAGAAGTGAGTTATACCATAATATACCCCTTGTGTTTTTTGTTATATCTACTCTCCACTTCTAAATGTCAGACAGACAGACCCTCCTGTTGACTTAACCACTAAAGAGTGACTACAATAAGTGGGACTTCAGGTTTATAAGGTTACATGGACTTGTCAAACACTTGGATAGATAGATAGATAGATAGATAGCCCCTCCTGTTGCCGCATAAAGACTTAACCACTAAAGAGTGACTACAATAAGTGGGACTTCAGGTTTATAAGGTTACATGGACTTGTCAAACACTTGGATATGGATAATGCAATGAAAGCAGTTGTTGCTGAAAATAATTCAACTGAACCACATTAAGAACAGCCAGTATAGGATATGAAAATAATTCAACTAGATCAGTATAAGAACAACCAATATAAGAACAACCAGAATAGGATGTGAAAATCACTCAACCAAACCAGTATAAGAACAGCCAGTATAGGTACACCAGTATAAGAACAACCCGTATAGGATATGAAAATAACTCAACTAAACCAGCATAAGAACAGCCAGTATAGGAACACCAGTATAAAAATAACCAGTATAGGATGTGAAAATAACTCAACTAAACCAGTATGAGAACAGCCAGTATAGGAACACCAGTATAAGAACAACCAGTATAGGATGTGAAAATAACTCAACCAAACCAGTATAAGAACAACCAGTTATAAGATATGAAAACAACTCAACTAAACCAGTATAAGAACACTAGTATAGGATATGAAAATAACTCAACTAAACCAGTATAAGAACAACCAGAATAGGATATGAAAATAATTCAACCAAACCAGTATAAGAACAACCAGTATAAGAACAACCAGAATAGGATATGAAAATAATTCAACCAAACCAGTATAGGAACACCAGTATAAGAACAACCAGTATAAGAACAACCAGTATAGGATATGAAAATAACTCAACCAAACCAGTATAGGAACACCAGTATAAGAACAACGAGTTATAAGATATGAAACAACTCAACTAAACCAGTATAAGAACTCTAGTATAAGATATGAAAATAACTCAACTAAACCAGTATAAGATATGAAAATAACTCAACTAAACCAGTATAAGAACAACCAGTTATAAGATATGAAAATAACTCAACTAAACCAGTATAAGAACAACCAGTTATAAGATATGAAAATAACTCAACTAAACCAGTATAAGAACTCTAGTATAGGATATGTAAATAACTCAACTTAACCTGTATAAGAAAAACCAGTTATAAGATATGAAAATAACTCAAATAAACCAGTATAAGAACAACCAGTAATAAGATATGAAAATAACTCAACTAAACCAGTATAAGAACAACCAGTTATAAGATATGAAAATAACTCAACTAAACCAGTATAAGAACAACCAGTATAAGATATGAAAATAACTCAACTAAACCAGTATAAGAACAACCAGTTATAAGATATGAAAATAACTCAACTACACCAGTATAAAAACAACCAGGATAAGAACAACCAGTATAGGATATGAAAATAATTCCACCAAACCAGTATAGGAACACCAGTATAAAAACAACCAGTATAGGATATGAAAATAACTCAACCAAAAGTAGTACAAGAGCTTACATATTGGTCGCACAGGGATTCCCCATTCCATTTCATATCATGGGGAAAATGCGTCCAATATGTAAGCTCCCCAAAAAGACCTTAACTCCATACATTTCATAAGCTCTTACACCAAAAGACCTAAACATCCTACATTTCATAAATTCTTACACCTATACACCCTACATTTCATAAATTCTTTCACTAAAAAAGACCTAAACTCCCTATAAATTCTTTCACCTATACTCCCTACATTTCTTACACCAAAATCACCTTCAATCAATTTCCTACATGCCATCAAAAAAAGCATTAAAAATACCCTTATATAAAAATAACATAACATTTTTAATAGCCTCGTTTTAAGTAATGTTATTTTTAGTCTAGAAACTTCTAGAAAAGGGAGATAACTCTTGTTTTTGGGAAAACAATTTTCTACTCAAATATTAAACCTTAAAAATGGCAAATAAAATACTAGATCCAATCTTTAGATTATACAATCCGATTCGTTATTCATTTAACAAGAAAAAAGAGGATTATATTTTCATCTCACCGACTGTTGGTTCTAAATCCCAATTGAATGATGATGGTAGAATTACCTTCGAAATAAATTCATTATCGAATTGGTTGCTTCTTTCCGATGCTTATTTCAGATGTGATTTCAAAATTAAAGATGGAACTCAGAATCAAGTACCACAAACTAATACGTTAGAAAACAATTTCTTTCCATCTTTATTTAGCGAGATGGTTTTGGAAGCTGGTTCAAATCCGATAGAAACAATTACACATCCTGGGGAATTCGACACAATGTTGAAAACAGTTTTATATCCTAAAGATTTCGATTCAGTCTCAGGTTGGATACCCGATGTTGGCGATGGAAGTGTTTTAAAAGAAACGGTAAGAAATCTTGCAAATGATGCTGATTTAGCTAGAATGAGAGTTGTTGCTCGAAACACAATAGAAAGAGTAGCACAAGCAACTAATCATGGATTCGAAAAACGAGTACTTCAGTATAATAATGTTGTTGAGAATAATAGGTGGGGTAATTACGTAAATTGGAAATTATATCCTTTATTCGGTCTGTTGGAACATAGAAAAGTTTCCATAGGGTTACCATATAAAATTCATCTACAAAGAGAAATCAACGATGATACGATATTCCTTGGAGAGAATGCTTCAGATGCAAAATTAGAAATAACAAATCTCCAACTTTTCATACCCGTAATAACACCATCAATTGAAGTAGAAACGAGAATATTCAACTCATTAACTAAAGATATTGAAATAGCTTTTCTTCATCGTAATACGGTTGGTAGCATGACTTTAACTGGAGAATCCACCACGTGGCCAATCACTAACACTATTAAACCAGCAAGATATTTAATGGTAGGTTTCAAGAACTTAGCAGATTCTCAAATGAATAACAATAATGCCTTCAGAGTGGCAATGAACCAAACTCAAGATCCTTTAATCCATAAAGTTCAAGTAAGATTAAACAAATAATTATCCTAACCAACCTTTAACAATTAATCAAACCACAAGGGATTATAATGAATTGTATAGAAACTATAAAAACATGTGTGAATTATTTGGAAATCAACCTCAGTTTGAATATGTAGATTTTGCACTTAATCATCCAATCTTCTGTTTTCATCTATCAGCTCACCAAGAAGATCTTTTCAAAACAGGAGTCAACATAAATATTCATATTGAAAAAACACAAGGAGATGTAACCGGTTATTGTTTACGACTCGAAGAAACAAAACATTTAATCAAAATAGCTGATAGAAGAATGATAAAAATAATAGAAGCTGTTGAAACAGATTCCCCAACTGTAATAACTTTCAATGGTAAAAAAAATCAGTAGAACTAAAAAACAAAGAAAGACGTTCAAGACCTATTTCAATATTACGAAGAAAACGAAGAAGAAGTGGAAATAAAAGATATCATAGATAACTACATCGAAGGAAAGAATCCAACGGATATAAAAGTTTTTCTTACGAAAAATGTTAATGATCTAGACTTGTCTAATATTGATAGCAAACGAAAGAACTTAATATTGTTTGACGACTGCGTAGCGCAAAGAAATCAAACTGTTCAACAAGAATTCTTCACGAAAGGAAGACATCACAACTGTCACTGCATATACCATTCCCAATCTTTTTACGGGATGGATTCTATGTTCATTAGAAAAAATGCAAATTATTTTTTATTATTTGAATTAAACGATAAAGATTTATTTCAAATCATTCAGTCGATAAATCACGGAATGGATAGAGATGCATTTAAAAAGATTTGTATATGTTAATTTTATTTTTTTTAAAATGAGTAGCAATTGGAATAATATTTTAAAAAGAAATAAAGAATATATCAAAGCTAAGAATAAAATAAAGACCCAAGTTGAAAATAACAGATTACAACAACTCGGATTAACGGAAAATCTACAAACTCTATTTCAACCCATATTAAAATCTCAAGAGAATATTAAAAAGAAATTAGCTTTAGAATATAAACCTCCTATAGAACCTCATAAAGATCACCCCAAACCCATTGAATATGGTGGTATTATAATTAGGACATTAGATGATATTAATAGTCTTTTTTCAAACCCTAAAGCAGATTTACCAAAGAGTATTACACCAATCACTGATGATGAGGGGTTATTGTTTAATGGATTTAGAATAAAATTTAGGGCAAATTCCCCTTTATTCAAAATCGATACAAAAAACTTAATATTTACATTAACAAAAGGGTTAATAGATATAATGAATGGTGGGTATATTGGCATTGCTGATTACAAGGATTTACTAGCATACTCAAAATTTTTACATGCAATAAGAAAGTCGGGACCCGAAACAAGAAGATCGAAAGCAGTTGAAACATATATAAAAAAAGTTATTCCTGATGAATATGAAGTTGATGAAGCAGATGATGAAGAAGAGGTATCAGATGATTATGCAGAAGATTATCCATCAATCACACAAGATATAAACGATTTCGAAGATATGGTGGCATCTGGACAAGGTATAACGTTTTTATCCGACAACAACGAGGAACTACTTAATAGATTAGGAGTAATATTAGCAGCAATGAAGGATGGACATCGATTACACAGACAATAAAATGAAGTGAATTGTATACTTAAAAAGACTCCTAGAGAAAGATATTATAGATAAAAATGATTATAAAAGCGTGATTAAAAATGTCAAATAAAGAACAACTATTCGTTATCACCTCAAATAAATCAGACATTAAATTGTCTCTAGATTATGAGTACGAACTCGATCGCAATCAAGAATATGAATTGGGATTAAAGTATTTCTCTGTTTACAATTCCATTAGAAATATCAACGAAAAAAAATAACCAAATAAAAATATCAACAGATAATGGAGTTACGTTCAAAACCATACGTTTACTACCAGGAAGCTACGAATACATAGCCATTAAGGAATACCTATCTGAATATGGAGGAAGTGTCAATGGTAAAAACAATATTGAATTCGAAGGTAATTTGAATCTGGACAAAATAAAATTGATATTAAGAAATAATAGTCAAGTTGATTTCAACGTAGAAAATTCATTAAATGCGTTACTAGGATTTGATAAACAAATATACACCCAATCCACTTTAGCACCACACAAAGCTAATAGCGAGAATGATATCGATGTGATAAATGTACATTGCAATTTGATAAACTGTGGATTTTTCAATAAATACAAACGTCAGATTATTTACAGTCTTCCAACATTCACTGTACCGATTGGATATAGAATTATAGAGAAACCATTTCAAACGACATATTTACCACCTAATTCCTTTATGATTAAAGATATAAATCTGGAAATCAAAGATGGTAAAAATAGGTTTATAGATTTTGGTAACGAGGAAATTGTTATTCAACTTCATTTAAAAAAAAAAAATTAACACTCTTCATTCTCTTCATGAATAGTTAGATAATCGTAATCATCAGATTCGTAGTTTTCATCCATGTTCAATTCTTTTCCGTTGTTGAAAGGGTACATGATTCCTTCATTGTCCGGTGCTTTTCTCTTAACGAGATTTAGATAACTTCTAAAAACTTTCTTTTGTTTATCATCATCCTTTGGAATAACTACTCCATTGGTGAAACTTTTTACCCAAGGTTTCTTAAATTCATTCGTTACATCGTGTCCATTAGCTAATCGAATATAATCTTCTACGGATATCTTATCTTTAGAGTAACCCTTAAACGTTTTCTTTTCTTTTAGAATACCGTCGGATGTTAGAATGATATTGTATTTAACTTTTGGCGCTAAATATAAACCAAATATAATTCCACCATTACCGTAATCATTCTTTCCTTTACAATAATCATTTTCGGACACCAACCCAGCATCATTTAATTTATCCCAATTGCTAGACGATATGTATAAACTATCGGTATCCGTATAGTATATTTCAGGCTTATAAAATCCATCTATCACGCGAATAAAATTATTTATTATTTTTTCACTGTGAGATAAAACGAATGATCCCAAATGACTAGGTGTTAGTCGTGTAGATTTAGGAGGTGTACAGTCAAATTCTTTTTCTTCTTCATTTATCTCAACTATATATTGACTATCATTTACTTTTTCATAGTTTATAACGTGTGAATCGAAGTTGGCTTTTAAAGTCGCTTCACTCCATAGATGTCTCGATGTAGTTATATCCATCTGAATAGATTTACCATACAATGAATTACCTAATAATTTCATGCAATTACTACCTATGATATTACCTTCTCGTTTATATTTATTTCTTAGATCTCTCAAAATTAAAATATAATCTCTTTTGGGTGGAGTTTTAAAATTTTCTTCGTAAACTATACCATCTAATATTTTAATAATTCGTCCACCGGCTTTCACTATTTCTTGAATATCGACCGATGTTAAAACGTCGTAACACAAACCATTTCTGAACCTGATTTTAGTGCCAGTTTCCTTTTTACCTATTCTACTCGTAAAACTGATTTTATCTTTAGCTGGTATGGTTTGGAAGAACATGATGGTTGGATATTCAAACCAGACTTTTAAAATAGCAGTTCTAGGTCTGAATTTCTGCTCATTAAATAGCTTAACAAATTCTTTATTTTCTTCTTGTCGAAATGGTCTACCACTTTAGTTTAGTACATTTTATTTTTTTAAGTCTCGAATGAACCTCCGTTTTATCTGTTGGGTTAGCACTATATTCTTTGAATAAATCAATTATATTATCACTTGGTGTTTCTGTGTATTCCTTTAATATATTACAAATTTCATCTATTCTATTCGTTTCAAATGATTTTCCGATTTTCCGAAACTCTTCCTCCTTTAATACTTTGTCTGATAAAATATCTTATAAAAGGGTGTGTATGTGTACTTTTTCTACGTTTTCTTTTTCGGTGTGTTTCGGAACCATTCTAGTACTTTCATACCATTCTTCTTCAACCATTTCTTTATCATAATGATATAAATAATACCAACCCTTTAAAGATAAAGAAGGAGCCGTTAGATTATTTGAAATATTGTGAAATACAACTTCTTTCATTGCTTGATTGTATTTTATCAAACAAGCTCCGAGACATAACGTATCTCTTTTAGCGTAAGGTTCCCATTCGTGTCTTAAAGATTCCCAATTATCTTTGGTATATTTTGCAATATTAATATCGGTGAACTTTCTCAAATTCATAGGTAGATTAGATGAATTACCCCATGGCGCTAAACTAGATGTTTCATGTTGAAAGGAACATGAAATTAATATTTTGCAAATAATTAGAGGTACCCTTTATTTCTTTCTATCTTTTCCATTTTTTTGTAAATCTTCATTGGTGAATGAATTAGTTATAGGTAGAGACAGAATTCCTCTGAGTGTTTTTAAAGGGCATTGTGTTAGTTTTTTTTACGTTTTTGATCATGATCCAGTTATCAAAACAGCTAGCGTTATGAGCAATTAATGTTATTCTTTTTTTGGTCTATTTTTCCTAAACGTTGTAACATTTGATCGATACAATCTGTACCTACAAATATTTCTACTATATTCATTAATTTATTATAAAATTCTTCTGGAACATTATCTGTAGGATTTAAATGTGGAAAGTTATGTTATATTTTGTCTAACATCTGTCATTCCTGATTATAAGAAAATAACTATATAACGAAATGCTCCATATCACGATAATATCTTGCCCTATTCAACTTGGTAGACGAATGATTTAACTTGTATATTTGTATATTTTTAGTAGTACTAATCTCAACATCCTCGCATCTCCCGCATATTTTAGGTCTGGAGAGTATGCGAAATTACTCAGTTAACCTTCCCAAGAATTCACACTTTAACCGCACACCCAACACTCACTTAAATATTATCAACCCCAGTTCTTTATCACTGTCTGGTAGCTCTTGGTAGAACTATTATACGCTGTTTAACCATGGCCACTAGTTTAACCTCACCATGCCATGCAAGGAGTTGTGATCGTCACCCTCCTTTTATGTGACATTCGAAACCTTCTTATGCAATATGATTTATTGCCGACTTTCGTGTATTCTAAACGAAGAACCCTTCTTATTCCTTCTTATATGCAGTCCGTCTCTTAAATCTTGTTTATGAATATTATCATGAGACAAACTGCCACGAATGATTTCTACAGACCTCTTTAAGCTTTCTATTGGCAACCCTGACACGTGCATTCATGTCAGCCCAACCAGTTAACAAGATACTCGAAAATATAATACTGAAATTGGAGTCCTCATCTAAAACCTGACAAATATTATCAAAGAGTTGCATAAGGTTTCTTAAATGCACATACTTATTACCACCTTCATTCAAATTATTAATTCCCACATGTATTATTAAATATAGACAATTGAGTGATTTTCCAAACTTCAACGCTGTATCTAATACCAATGACCATTTCCCACCTGGAACAGGGATAACTAGCTGATTTTCATTTGCGTGTGCACCCAAATCCTTAACTAAAGAATCGCCTACCACCAACATTGTTACATGATTTGGCACTAAAGAACATCTGAACCTCGCTGGCTTTTTATCAAATTTATCGAAACGAACAACTAACAAATTCCATGGTAAACCATATTTATCTTCTCTGAATCCGGTTTTTGACTGATATAATAACATGTGTCTATCTCCTTTGTAGACCAATATACGAACGGATGATGCTTTAGACCAAATCTTGGGAAACCATATTGGTGTTGGCGACAACACTGGTACAACCATTGTGAAAATTACATTCTGTTGCTCTAAAAAAAACTTAATATAGACAAAATTAAATGGGGGGAAAATATAACAATTTTCATCTGAAGCAATAGCTTGAGCAAAAACATTGACTCCGGCTGACAAGGGAGAACAGGTAGGTGTATAATGTTTTAGCAATCCAGAAGAACCCTTCATACAATTCGAATTGCTCAACACGCAACCATGCCAATCTTGACAATTTACAATCCTTTTTCGAAATATGTCTTTACAATTCATACGCCGGATTTAATTTTGATTCAACAAAAATTAACTTCATCAATACATTTTTATCTTGTAAAATGAAAAATATATGTCTTGAAATATCTCATTCAGAGAATCAACAGGCATCAACAACAGCTTTATTGTCTACCAAAACATCAATCCGCGTATTTTTGATTGAAGGCCCAATCGATTTCAGTGTTAGCAACAAAGCCTTAGCTTCTTTCACATGTATAGGACTTAATAAATCAACCTCATCCCAATAATCGCCAAAACAACTTTGTGATCCTTGGCCCTTAAGCACAGCGCCCCACCTGAAGTTAGAAGAATCCGTAGCTAATTTAATAAATGTATGAAACTCTGGTTTCCATGGGATATAATTAGTAACCGAATCCAAAAACCGCCAAAAAGATATTTCATCTCTCAATTCGGAAGAAATGTACATAGTGTCTTTGTGCAATTGCATTAGCTTAGAAATAGAACTGAAACATACCGAAGTAAATAATCGTGCACCAGGTACTGGGAGCATGAAAGATATACATTTACCAGCGAATCGTTGTATTGTCAAGAGCGTGACATAATTTTTATTTAAAATTGCTTCCCTCAATACAGAAAATTTATCCCGTTTAGAATCCGCCAATTTGAAACATTGATTCTCACCATCAATTATAAAACCCAAATAAGTTATCTGGGAAATTGGTATAAATATTGATTTTGAAAGTCCTATACAATACCCCAAACGACAAACAATCTGACAAGCTACATAAAAAGCTAATTTAGCCTCTTCATAATTGTTTAAATAGCCTCTGCTTTGAAATTGTTCTATTAAGCGATCATCTATATAAATCAAATTATTAATACCTAGCTCTCTTAAATAAGCTGCAACAGTTTTGCTTAGTGTGTGATAAATAAGGGCTGACATCTTCCAATCAAATGGGAGAGTATTACACACATAAAAATAATCTCGCCATTTAAAACCCAACAGCCGCTTGCTACTTTCTGACACTAAATGTGATCATAACCAGATTTATCGTCTAATTTCGTAAGATATGAAAATGGCGTTACAAATCTTGGAACGTCGTTTAGGGAGTCCAGCGTAAATGGAGTGTCTAACATCCATTGATTTAAATACCTAAGATTCAAACACATTTTTGGCTTTGAAGGTTATACAGTAATTGGAGATACTATATATGGGGGTTTCACCACACCAGCCTTACCAAACTTTGAGATTGCCCCTGATTTTAACCTATTTTCAATTTCGGAATCTATTAAAACTTTAAATTCATGGCAGTTTCGGGAATTATCAAAAAATTTAGGTAGTGGATAATCATGATTAAATTGCTCTCCAGCATAAGAACCTTTAAAGTGCTTAATGTAATTTCCCACATTTACTCCATTTCTAATCCAATCTAAAATAAATTTTTAAGAATCATTTGTAATTTTAGTCCATTGAGAAATATGATTATGAAGTTCACCAGCTCGAAATGTTTTTGGTTTCTAAAAGGAATATCTTCTAGATGCGCAGACTTTCCAATATTATTAACCACATCCTCAGCCGATAACGTTTCGCTCCATTCAACTCTATTCCCATGAAAATCTACCCAATTTGGTTCATCCTTTAAATCAAAATATAAAAATAAATTTGCAACAAATTTTTCTTGAAAAGAACAATGACAATAAGAAATTTAAATAACTATATCAATCTTTCTTCTGGCACTTAGTACTAATATGCCACACTTATAACAAATTATATGAGAATGTGTATTAGGTTTCTTAGAAGACGAGGAATACATATTTTGTTTATAGGACCCTTTATTGCCCTGGGGGAGTTTCTGATCACCCCAAGACTTAAGGAACTTATGTTCCTTTTCCATTAGGCATGACTCAATTTTCGAGGATAGCATTAGAACTACCAAGGGGCCTACATAATGATTTGTTGGCCAAAAACCTTTGCAGTACAAAACTGTATTCTTCTGTGTTTACATTATTTGCCTTACGAGCTTTTTCATTCAAAAGAACAAGTTTCTGATGCAGAGTATCTATGTTCATCTCGGAGGTCCTGGAAGCATACTCTTTTACCTCCCTGGGCATAACATCAACCGATTCTTCTGTTATTCTCTTTTCCTGCAGGTCCACTTTTGACCTAAGCTTCTTCAATTCATCACGAATATCAAACTGTAAAAAATAATCATAGTGAACTCAAATCTTTCCAACCCCGTATAGACTGTGCAACATGGGTCAATGAGTTTAACTGATCCGGAGATCCATTTAATTGGCCAATTAATTGAGAAGACTGTTCTTGATTCTCAACGTCTAAAAGTGATATATACTTATCAAGCATCGAGTTAGACTTCCAACCCACATGTCCTTTAACTTGCTCATTAGATGCACCCAGATGCTTCAGAGTCAAAGCACAGCCACTCCTGAAACTATGGGGAGTTTCTCCATCCCAAACACCCGTTGATTTCTACTTCTTTCAGGTAAAACTGTATCTTGACCACAGGGCATAACTCTCCTACAAGAACCCTCTTTAATATTTTCGACGGGGATCACTTTTCACAGTTTTCCCCTCCGTCATGTGAATGTATAATCCGGACTTATCAGGTAATCAACGAATTTGATCTCTTTTAAGCCTTCCAACATCACCAGCTCTATCTCCCGTAAAGCACATAAGGGTAAAATATGGTTTGTCTCTAGCAAGAGCATACCGCTTCTTGCCAGATAGCCTATCCTTATGAGCAAGTTCATAATTAATTACCCTACACATTCTCACAATCTTATCGAAGAATAATGGCATAGCCTGACACGGTTGAACTAGAGCCTTAGATTGTTCCAAAGTAACAGCCTGGAGATGCCTTTTTATTGATGGAGCAGCCATCGGGTTACCGAAACCGAATACCTCATTCCAGTCTGACCCTCTGCCATGATCTCTAAAAATCGCCCTCAGCTGACCGATCAATGTATCTAATGATGACGCAGCACGCCTTATTGGACATTTACATGATGCCTTATCAGACTGAGTCCTAAACACACAACTATCCAAATGGACTTTTGTTTTCCCAGTGGAATCCTTCCAAACTAAAAACTCTCTCATCACTCCTGGAGATGCATTGTCCAAATTCAACGTAGAATCTACAGACATTAAAAACAAAGTTATCTGACTTAATTTTTCCTTTTCATGTGCATGTTTTGTATCAACCAGCAAATCAAATCTTGCATTCTCTTTTTAAAAACCATTCTATCCAATGAAAGCAACTGAAATGAGACCGACACAAAATTTAACCTAAACATATATTCTATGAAAACTCACTACTTTCTTCCCATATCTCTTCTGAATGACTATGCTGCATGATACCCAAAACACCTTTAGTAATTTTATTTTAATTAACCAACTAACGAGCTCAACCGCTTTAGATTGAAATAAACTGATTAAACTTGGTAAAAACAAACATAATTGTATATTTTCATGTATTAGAAAACCATTGTATCGATTTGAGCAAGTATGTCTATGGATTCAAAATGTTTCAATTACAAATATTGAATCTTTCTGATATTAAAAATCGAGACTAATTAACTTCATTAATTCATATATTCCCTTTTTAATTAACTTTATCAAAACTCAGTAGACATTTTGACAAACCATTATAAACCATTCATTATATATGAAATAACTCAAATCATACCAACTTTGACATACACTATGCGGTCAAAACCAACTGAGCTACATTTCTTTCAATCAAGTACTAGACCATATATTACTTGAGGTTAAAAATAACCTCTTGAGGCTGACAAAAGCACTACAGACCGACTAAACCGACTCACTTCAGGTAGACTACTTTCTTACTACCTCAAACCGCTTACTCCGTGATCACTTTCAAGATGACTGCACCATCGTCAGCTCAGGCTGACTACATCGTGGTCATTTCAGGCTGACTACACCATTTCACTTCAGGTTGATTACACCATGGTCATTTCAGGTTGATTGAACTATTGTCACTTCAAGCTGACTACACCATAGTCTTTTCAGGCTAACTACACCATGGTCATTTCAGGCTGACTACACCATGGTCACTTCAGGTTGATTACACCATGGTCATTTCAGGCTGACAACACCATGGTCATTTCAGGCTGACTACACCATGGTCACTTCAGGTTGATTACACCATGGTCATTTCAGGCTGACTGCACCATGGTCATTTCAGACTGACTGCACAATGGTCATTTCAGGCTGACTACATCATGGTCACTTCAGACTGACTACCTCAGACATTTCTAGCCGACTACACCATGGTCATTTCAGTCTGACTACACCCGGGTCGGATTCGTATATAATTAAAGATTTCAATTATTTTCAATTAATTGTTCCCAATTCTTTGACATCATCGTTTAATTCAAGCCTAGTATACCATTGATACGTTAAACCCAAAATAATTAATTTTAGTTACTTGCAAGAATTAAATTTGAAAGTTAAGACTGAATTTTGAAAGAAATTGTGCAGCTTATTAAAAACAAAATAATACATGAGTCTCCTTAACCCCCAATCGTCACTTCAGGTTGATTACACCAAGGTCATTTCAGGCTGATGCACCATGGTCACTTCAGGCTGACTACACCATGGTCACTTCAGGCTGACTATACTATGGTCACTTCAGACCGACTACACCATAGTCTCTTCAGATTGACTACTCCTTTAAAACCTTCAGACTGACGACTTTGCCAGTTCTTTAAACTTAAGACTGGTTATACCAGGACTACTTCATATTGACCACTTCCCGCTACTTCAGATTAACTACTCCATAATGATTTCAGATGTACTATTCCTTGCCAGTCCAAACATACTACTTCCTTATAACTTCAATGTGGATACATCCAGATCATTCAAATTTACCACTTGTTATCTCTTCAGATTTAATACTTCTTTCCAATTCAAATTTAACAATTGTTATCACCTCAAATTTACCACTTGTCACCATCTCAAATTTACCATTTATTTACCACTTGTCACCATCTCAAATTTATGACTTGTCACCGTCTCAACTTTACCACTTATTTACCACTTGTGACCATCTCAAATTGACCACTTGTTAACTGTTCAGATTTAGTACTTCTTGTCAATTAAAATTGACCGCTTGTCTCCACCTCAAATTTACTACTTGTTACCTGTTCAGAATTAGTACTTCTTGTCAATTGAAATTTACCGCTTGTGTCCACCTCAAATTTACTAATTGTTACCTGTTCAGATTTAGTACTTCTTGTCAATTGAAATTTACCGCTTGTGTCCACCTCAAATTTACTAATTGTTACCTCTTCAAATCTAATACTTCTTGCCAATACAAATTTAACTAGAACTGTTATAACGGTACCAAAGCAGTGCGCATCCAACCTGATACATCGATTTTAATGCATTTAAAAGTCATAATGAGATTTCTTACCGGGAAGAAAAGTATGTAAACATTCAATAGTAAAAAAATCGTTTAAACCGTTTAACGTTCGGTAGTGAAAAGACGCATGGATTTGATACCAATTGGTACTAAAAGGTGTTAACATTCGGTAGTAAAAAGTCGAATTTCAAATAGCTGTTAAGTTAAAAAAAACAAATTGCACAACAAAAATGGAAATATTTTGGGAAAGGTTTTGTCAGATACTATAACTTGTGTTACGGTCAAGAGATCAACAAAGGTCAAATAAAAGAAATATAAGCCTTAAAAATTCTAAAAAGCACAATTCAAAATACCAAGTGTTATATATCACTAGAAAGAATAGATTGTGTGTTATAAGGGCATAAGAGAAATTTTCACTATGTAAATTAGGTCACGTGACAGAGCTTTTTAAAGTTAAAACTCGCAATTTTCAATTGGCTGTAGAACCGGAAGTTAACGCTGCTCAATAAAAGAGAAAATATTATTGGATATATCTCGTAATGGGCAACAACTTTTGTTCAGATCAAAAGGTCAACAAAGGTTAAATAAAAGTAATATGAGCCTTTGAAGTTTCGAAAATTGCTGTTTTCGGACGCCTGTAAAACCGGAAGTATATGTCGCACATCAAAAATCAAAGTAAAAATGGTCATCTTAGATCAATGACCTTTGACCATGCAAAGGTCAAGGTCATTTACAAAAATACAATTTTTTAAAATTGTTAAACCTATTCCCTTTTTTAAAGTAAAGATTGCAAACAACTGTAATCTTGTTGTCCTAAGTAGTGATCTACTTTCATGCAAAATTTCTAGGGTGACAATTGCAAAATTTGCGAATTATGACAATTGCAAATATTTCAGGTGAAGGTAAATGCACACTGGATGTGCCACGCTCACTTTAAAAATTTTAATTTGTCTGTGATGAGGTGTACATTGTTAAATAATGTTCAAAATTGCAAGCGTTTACAATCATTAGATCATGAGATATTTGCAGCTTTACGTTTTCTAAGGCAACGGTTATTGTCGGTAGATTAAATAATATTAAATACGTAATGACTGGTTAACGTCATACGTCATTTCCGGTTGGAAAAAAATGCTTCATTTTACATTTAAACAGTAGCGACAAGCAAGGTATAAGAAATAATAGTGTCAGGCAATGTGTGACATGTGCAGTTTTGGCTGGGGAGCGTGACCAGAAGTAGACAAAAAAAAAAAAAAAAAAATAGTCATTTGCAAAACGAATGTAGGTAATTAGGTCACAGGTAAATCGGTCACTGGAAATTTGGTCACAGTAAAAAGGTCACACGGTAATTTGGTCACAGTAAAAAGGTCACACGGTAATTTGGTCACAGTAAAAAAGTCACACAGTAATTTGGTCACAGTAATACTGTCACATGGTAATTTGGTCACAGAAATAAGGTCACACGGTAAATCGGTCGCAGTAAAAGGGTCACACGATAATTTGGTCACAGTAAAAAGGTCACATGGTATTTTGGTCAAGGTAAAAAGGTCACATGGTAATTTGGTCACAGTAATAAGGTCACACGGTAATTTGGTCACAGTAATACTGTCACATAGTAATTTGGTCACAGTAAAATTACCCATTTTCAGTGGTGTTGGTTATCTTATTCATATCAACCGCTTGTAGTTGATAACTAGATTCAATAAATGGTGGAGGACGGGCAATGTCACAACTTAAGTAGGTTCGTGACTTTGCCCCCGACTTAGCACAAAATTTATTGAAATTGACTTTTAATTCAAATTTTTTTTTCTGATTCGATTGAAACCTAGTTTACCTGTGTATATTGGCTACATGGAAGTAGTGATGCTATTTAAAAGGCGAAAGCCGCGATGAGATTTGCTGCTGGTGGGCGTATAGCCATGTGGGCGTCCACTCGTATATATTAGCACCGTTGCTCGTAAATTTCCACGCCTGTCCCAATGACCTGAGCGTTTTTCAATTTTTTGGGTAGGATGAGATGGGCGCCCTTCAGATACGTGCGAAGCATCTCACCCTACTCCCACCCGAAAATCGAAAAGAATCTGCTTTGAAACGCTCACGTTATTGGTACAGGCACGGAAATTTATGAGTAGTGGAGATGATATATAAAAAAAATATTAAATCAACTTCATTGCTGAAGTCAATACTGGATGATTTCACAGGCTGCATTCAGTGAGTGAGAATTCTGTCATTTGGAATGGCGAGAGTCGGCAAAAAACGGTGGTATGGCTTGCAAGCTTAAAAGGCAGATCGGTGGCGGGTTGTATCAGCAATAACTATATAGCTGCAGATTGACAGGTATACCAAATACTGTTCGACCTTTCAAGGCCCCACAAGGTCCACCCATCTCTGGCAGAGGGCAAGCAGAACAATATATTATGTATTATGAAATGAATATCACTACACCAGTTACCAGTAATTTCATTTTACTAGTTTTGCCTTGACCAGATCACTGTGTGACCATATTACTGTGACCAAATTACCGTGTGACCTTATTACTGTGACCAAATTAAGATTAAATACATATTCCTATTCAGATTTAACACTTTTTGTGAATGCAGATTTACTGTTTTGAAAATTCAGATATAAAACCTTTTGAAAATTCAGATATAAAACTTTTTGAAAATTCATATATAAAACTTTTTGAAAATTCTTATCTAACAGTTTTTTCCACTACATACTAACAAGACCCTTGTTCACCTGAGTTTAACCAATTCTTATCATTTCAAACTCTCTTTACTATGACCAATCCATATTGAGTACTGTTGACGACTTTTAACTGACTATTCCTTTACTACTACTGGCAGACTATGACATGACCATTTTAAATAGACTATACTTTCAATACAAATAACTAAATAACGTAAAAATGTTTAAGTAAATGTTATTTTTATAAATTAAGTCTATTATATAAGTTCACCCAAAAAGAATTGGTCTCATTACAATAGCTTAATCAATATCATACTTAATAGCGCCTAAAGTGTAATTTATTATGTATTCTAATAACCAATAATCACCTCACTCTGAATAAATTATGGACGCTGATTTAAAGTTCACACTAAATATAAATTTTAGGAGGACCGATTGTTCCTTTTGGTGACATTCCAATTCTCAGGAGAAAACAAGCTGAAACATTGGTTTTTCCTATTAACAAAAAAAAATAAAATAAATTGAAATATTTATGATTACCTCCTCATTTTCTTTGATTTAGCTTCACCATCCGTTGCCATCTTACCCTTGTCATCTTTATTTGCTACCTATTGTAAAACATTATAGACCAAAACTAACACTTAATATTATTAATAAATTTCTTCTTCAATATTGTCTATGTATTTCATCAAATCGGTATCACGGACTACAGATGTAATCAAAACGACAACCACTTAAGTTGACTGAACTAAACTTTAGCAATGAATACGTATCAGTAGAAATAAACGCACCTAATCTTTCATTTCTAAACGCATTTTATTTAAAATTAAACCGGATAGCCCATTGAAAATCATCCCGTTTCCATATAGCAGAATGCTAAATAACTAAAAGTATATGTGGCCTGATTTACCAAATTTAAACTTACGAAAATTACTGCCATCGCCAAATCAACACAAAACGTTTGTTCCCAGCTCTCGAATTCATCGTTTATTATAATACCCAATTCTGTTACAATATCCACATTCCATCCGAGTCGTTTATCAAAATTTTTCACTATCTCATTCTACGTCAAACTTGCTATAGGAATCTCGGTATCTGATATTGTTCTTTTGTTCCTTTTCTCCATACTTTAATTACTTCTACAATGTCTTTTTGATGTAATTTTGCTGATGTATCTAATAAAATGGCGGTGGCTGGCATGTCTGCACGTGCGAGAAACCAAACGAGATGTTGCTCGTGTGCTGACTTGGTAGATGAATGATTTGATTTGTATATTTCCCGGGCATATGGACGCAACGCAGCGGAAGTTAAGATTAGTTATTGTATTCATCTACAACCTCTGGTAATATTTTAAGCCATTTTTGAGATTTCAATTCCGTGAACTTTTTGAATAATTTATTTTTTAGAGTTCTATTATATCTCTCAATAACTACAGCTTTACCTTCATAATGCGTGCTGTAAATTACAAATCCCAGAGATTTCATATTTTTGTTATAAAATTCACTTCCTTTATCTACCCACAGTTTTTCTGGATGACAGAAAGATTCATAATCTTGTTTCATAATCGTTTCAAATGCGTGTTTGACTGATAATCCTGTTTTGTTTTTCAAAGGAATAACCCATACATATCTCGTATATAAATCTATAACTGTTCAGCAATATTTAAATTCTCTTTCGACTGGCATATGAATTAAATCGGCTGACCATATTTCATCTTTTTCAAACACTTTGACTTTTAAAAAGTTTTTAGTTTTTCTAAATTCTTTGTGTATTTCATCCACTAATCCCATGCCTAATTTCATCTTTGCTTTTAACAGTTTTATGATTAGAGCCCTTTGCATTCTCTCTTTGAAAGTTGAATTTGGAATATTTTCAACTCGTCAGATTGTTTCACTGCGTCGCTTATACTCTTTCCCGCTTGCGCGATTGAGCCAAAGGCTTTCGCTCCGGTTGAAATGAGTGATTTGTTGTTTGAAACAAAGCTAGCTACTTTTGGAATTATTGTTTTACCTAGAGAAAATAATGAAGAAAATATACCGTTGACCGAATAATCTTCGAATCTGTGTTGTTCGTGTTTTAGAATTAAACTCATCCTTTTTTTAAATGAGTTAATTTAACGAAGAAATTATGTTTCCAAAAAAGAGTTATCTCCCTTCTACATTATTTAAAAACGAGGCTATTAAAAATGTTATGTTATTTTTAAATAAGGGTATTTTTAATATGCTTTTTTTGATGGAATGTAGGAAATTGATTGACGGTGTTTTTGGTGTATGAAATGTAGGGAGTATAGGTGAAAGAATTTATAGGGAGTTTAGGTCTTTTTTAGTGAAAGAATTTATGAAATGTAGGGTGTATAAGTGTAAGAATTTATGAAATGTAGGATGTTTAGGTCTTTTGGTGTAAGAATTTATGAAATGTAGGGAGTTTAGGACTTTTTTGGGAGCTTACATATTGGTCACATTTTCCCCATGAAATGAAATGGAATGGGGAATCCCCGTGCGACCAATATATAAGCTCTAGTACTACTACCAAACCAGTATAAAAACAACCAGTTATAAGATATGAAAACAACTCAACTAAACCAGTATAAGAACAACCAGTTATAAGATATGCAAATAACTCAACTAAACCAGTATAAGATATGAAAATAACTCAACTAAACCAGTATAAGAACAACCAGTTATAAGATATGAAAATAACTCAACTACACCAGTATAAGAACAACCAGGATAAAACAACCAGTATAGGATATGAAAATAATTCCACCAAACCAGTATAGGAACAATCAGTTATAAGATATGAAAACAACTCAACTAAACCAGTATAAGATAGGAAAATAACTCAACTAAACCAGTATAAGAACAACCAGTTATAAGATATGAAAACAACTCAACTAAACCAGTATAAGAACTCTAGTATAGGATATGAAAATAACTTAACTTAACCAGTATAAGAACAACCAGTTATAAGATATGAAAATAACTCAACTAAACCAGTTATAAGATATGAAAATAACTCAACTAAACCAGTATAAGATAGGAAAATAACTCAACTAAACCAGTATAAGAACAACCAGTTATAAGATATGAAAATAACTCAACTAGACTAGTAGGATATATGAAAATAACTCAGCTAAATGAGTATAAGAACAACCACTATAGGATATGAAAAATATCTCTATAAAAGCATGTTTGCGGTTGTATTTAGAATTAAGGGTAGAGTATGAAGACAATCAGGAGAGCCTACTAGGTTCCATGTTACATAAATATACAAGAAGTTCTTAGATCTTAAACCTTTTTGTCAATGAAATATATTCACAAACATTATTGAAAATGGTATAGTTTAAAATATCGTCAAAATCTGGGTCACCAAAGAGTATGATCTTGATATCAATCTTATTATTTGGAAGAGAGTTTATGGTTGTTTGTCTTTCAAATGTAAATTTTGGACAGATTAAGAAATAGTGGTACGAATCTTCAATGGAATTTCCACATGAACACGAAGGATCGTTAGAAAGGTGCATTAGAAATCTGTGAAACTTCAGTTCGCTTTTCATGTTCCGTAGACGACAGAGAAGGATTTGAAGGGGTCTACTTACAAGGTTATAATAATATGGAATGATGAGATCTTCTTTTTTCAGCTTATTTTTAAATGTTCCAATGGATTTAAATTTTCAGGCAGAGAATTCCATTCATTAATTGTAGAAGAAAGGAAAGAACTTGTATATTGTTGAGTGTTACACTTGATGGGGCGAAAGCTGTTTGTGTTTCTAAGATTATGTGTTGTGACATCATTTACTTTGGGGGGTAGCAATAAATATAGATATGGTGGAACTATTTACCATTTTGTAGATCTATCGTTACTGAATTCAGATGGATCACCTTTTTTATAAATAGTCACATTAGCTGATTTCCAAAGAAGCTGTACTTTTTCAACTTCTAAAGATAAGTTAAATAGATTACGTAGTGGCATATATATTTCATGTGATATTGATTTTTGAAATTTTCTGCCGATTTAGTCTGGTCCAGTTGCTTAGGAGATGTTGATGTTAATGAGCATATTTCTAATGAAAAATTCGTTTAAACAGTTTGCTTTTCATAACTCAGTACAAGCTTTGACCCCGTTGTTTACTACGGGTGGTTACATATGAGTTGCATATAAGTTGCGACCAATCTTTAGATGCATGTTAATCTGTTCGTTAATTTTATTGTCAATTTTCTCATAGAATTCTTTTTTGCATTTCCGAATAAGTTTAATGTATATGTTCTTGATTAATCTAATCTTTTCCAATTTTTATCAGAATGCGATCCAACGGCTTTTTGATGGATTTTATTTTAAATAAAATCTGCATCAAAAGATCATCATTTTTAAACTTATCCAAGATCTCATCAACATAAACCACCATTCCAAATTTCAGTGTAATTGGAAATTGATTGGTCTCTATTGTACTTACAATCAAATTTTAAAACTGTAGTCTCTATTGTACTTACATTCAAATTTTAAAACCGTAGTCTCTATTGTACTTAAAATCAAATTTTTAAACTGTAGACTGTGTTGTACTTACAATCAAATTTTAAAACTGTAGTTTCTATTGTACTCACTAACAAAAACTAAAAAAACTGTTAATGGAGAAATAAAATTCAAACTTGACAAATATCTCAACAATATAAATGACCACACCAAATTACATTTTATCAAATGAAAATTGTAGTGTTAGGGTGTATTGAGACCAGTCTCAATGAAAGCACTGCCTAGGTCACATAGTAATAGATAAGTCTATCAATTATGTGAAAATTAGTTAGTCTTTAGTATGATTTTAGTTGAAAAGACACACACAAACATACACTGCATGTTATATAATATACTGTATATAGTCATGACACCAGTCCTGAAATAAGTATTCCCTGAAATCTAACTTAGAAATCGATTAATTTTATTGATATAACATGATACATTTATTTGAAGAAATATCTGCTCCTAGGATGAATGGACATTGTTCAATGGTTCAAGTCTACCGCGAAGGAGGAAACTGCTAAGATTTTGATTTCTTTTGTAAGCTACAACCAAACGTTTCGTGTATACATGGGGAAATTTGTTCTGAAGTTCCGCGTAATGGCGTTTGACTATTATGGAGGCTTTGATAGCTGTAGAATCAAATATCGTTATAAAGGGTATTATCTGGTTATCATGTTGAATGTTGAGTCCATTTGGACTCACAGTCTGCAGTTGATCGATCCAATAACTTTCGCGTTGTAGACGTCTAAGCTTAGGTTTCATGCTAGGTGACGTAGAAACTGTTTCTATAGGCATGATGAGAAGGTCATCAATGGAAGGATCGGAAAGGTTGAAGTGATTCGCAATTGGTCTATCCTTGTCCGAGATCTTATCAATTCCAATGATCACACCAAGTTTCATCAGAATCGGTTGAAAACTGTAGCTTCAATCCTGCTCACAAACTATTTTTAACAAATTTCGACCTGTTTTAACAAAGTCAAGGGCAATAATTCAAAAAACGTTCATCAAAAATGCGTCATGTTAGAATTTGTCCGAGATCTTATCAATTCCAATGATCACACCAAGTTTCATCAGAATCGGTTGAAAACTGTAGCTTCAATCCTGCTCACGAACTATTTTTGACAAATTTCGACGCGTTTAAACAAAGTCAAGGGCAATAACTCAAAAACCGTTCATCGAAAATGCGTCAAGTTAGGACTTATCCGAGATCTTATCAATTCCAATGATCACACCAAGTTTCATCAGAATCGGATGAAAACTGTAGCTTCAATCCTGCTCACGAACTATTTTTAACAAATTTGGACGCGTTTTAACAAAGTCAAGGGCAATAACTCAAAAACCGTTCATCGAAAATGCGTCAAGTTAGAACTTGTCCGAGATCTTATGAATTCCAATGATCACACCAAGTTTCATCAGAATCGGATGAAAACTGTAGCTTCAATCCTGCTAACGAATTTTTAACAAATTTCAAGGCGTTCTAAGTAAAGGGCAATATCTCAAAAACCGTTCATCGAAAATATGTCAAATTCGAACTATCAATCTAAAGCATCACACCAAGTTTTATCAAAATCAGATAAAAACTGTAGTCTCTATAGTGCTCACAAGAAATGTTGACGGACGGACCGACGGACAGGGGCGACGACAATATACGACCACATATTCATGTGGGCGTATAAAAATTGGTAACATGTATGTGTTCGCATGTGCAACAAGTAGGACCTCCACAGGGAAATGAACCGAATCCAATAAAAGGTGGAGGGGGGTCATTTTTTCTCAAAATGTCTGAAAGCGTGTCATTCTTAATTTTTCGAAGAAACCTTTTGGAATAACCCTTCTCCCTTAAATTGTCAAAAACTAGTTTACAGGCGGATTCAAAATCAGCCTGTTGGGTGCAAATTCTATGAAATTTTAGAATTTGAGATTTAATTATTCCAGAAAATGTGTGTTTCAGGTGGAACGAGCTTTTGTATAACAGTTGGTGGGTATCAGTTTCCTTAAAAAATACTTTAATGTCTAATTTTTTAGAAGAAAGAAAGTTGTTGCCTTTGAACACTGTGGTGTTGTAGTTACTGTGCTTATAACATTTTGACACTTTTTTTCTTAATGTCAAGTGCAATAAATTAAAAACTGTTTATCAAAAATTGTCAAATTCAAACTTGACAATGATCTCATCGATATAAATTTGAGTAAAAATCTGATTAAAACTGTAGTCTTTATTGTGTTTACACAAAATGTTGACAGACTGAAGAGGCAATGGCAATATACGTCCACATTTGTTTTCAAATAAAAGGGACTTACCTTGAAGATAAAGATTCACCGATAAAAACTTCATTTAAAGCTCTTACTGGCAGAATCCTTTCTCCACCTCGATTTTGAGATACACTTATAGGATAACGACTTGCTTCATCTTCACCTACATGTTCTGTGAATCTATATTCTGGAAATTTCAACTGTTGATCATGTAATCCGATTGGATCTTCATTATCATGTTGTCCAGCCATAGTAATTCTTATTCTTTGTCTCCATTTCCATCTAAAAAGATAACTTGCCAGACAAGGTAATGTACGCCCACTGGCAACTTTAAATTTAAATAAAAAAATTTGGCAGTACAGTAACAATCACGAGTATGAAATATTCAACCTTCAGTCATACAATTCTTTTGAACTTTTTTGGGCAATACTGAATAATTTTACCAAATTTCGTCAAAAATCTGTCAAGAATTGGGCCTTCTAGAGTGATAACAAGCTAAAACTTGAATGTGATTTTAAGAACAAGGACAATATCTCATCTTATTTTTGATATGGTTCATCCATGGTTGATAAAAAAAACTCACACCAAGTTTCATAAAAATCTGTCAATATTTGAACCTTTCTAGAGTGATTTCGATAGGGTTCATCCTTGAGTGATAACAAACATTCACACCAAGTTTCATCAAATTCTGTCAATAATTGAACCTTCTAAGGTGTTTACAAGCTATAACTAAACACATTTTCAAGACGAGGGTGAGGGGCACCTTTACCCCCTTTTTGGCTTTTCCAGGGCACTACCCTCTAAATACGCCACTGTAGTTACTTGTAAAAACGTAGTAATATTAGGAGACCAATTGCATAAAATGCAGGAATTTATTTTCATAAATTATTCTCAAACAAAAGACCCTTACGATCGTTTGGGGAAGATAAGTCCTGAGTTGATTTTGAATTTCCAATTCATTAACAAGGTTAAAAGTAAATTTTGACTAATTTGTATTTAAAATCTATTGCCGAAAAAAAAAATGAATGACACCAAATTTCATACAACGCTGTAGGTTTGAATTGAAAAGTATTCAGTCTAGAACCATGAACTCTACACAATCGGCCTTAACATTTATTTGTAAACAAACATGACTTGACAAAATGCCGAAAATACTTGAATGTATTCAGCTAACTGTTCAATAAAGGAACTTTTAAAGAAGATATGCATTCAATTTATGATGCAAAATGGCACTTTTAGTTCGGTACTGTTGTAGAGTACTGTTGTTGAAAATATTCTTCCTTCATCCAATATCATAAATAAAATTTCTCAGATTATCCAGTTTATCATAGAATAATCAAACTGATACATGCCTTTCATTTTTATTTCCATTAGTAATGTTAAACACATTTATTTGTGTTGTCAGTATAAATTTTTTTATTGATAAAAATTATTCGCAAATATGTTTTTATAATATGTGAATTTGGACACTCATGGAATCTAAAAATAGCATCTGGTGGTCTATTTGCGCAATTTCTAAATAATTAAAGATGCAAGGGAATATGGCTTCATTTCTTCCCTCCAGGAAGCTACCTAATTTGAGCATTCCCTGACCTTAAAACTGTTATAAATACTATGAAATTATCAGTTTCCACCATCTATTAATTAACCGATTATTAATCGGTAACATAAAACCGATGTCAATGTCGATTATGATTTTCAACCCATTTCCCATCACTACTAGTAGTGTGAAACTATTCCATGCATGATAATTAAGTAATATATCCCTAGGAGTAATGATTGGTTGCAGTAATGAAACTGGTCAGAAGGATTTCAGATTTCAGTTGTGTCGACAATTTCTTTGTCAGCAACATGAACTGGTACTTTGCTCCAGATGGAGAACATCAGCACACAAGTCATTCTGGGGATGAGTGATTTCATTTTGGAACTGTTGTACAATTCCCCCTTACTATTCACTTATAATTCACCCCAAATTCTTCCTCATTCCTGAATTCACTTGTGGGCAATTCCATAGTGACAGATGGGACAAATCACGAAAGGAAGACATCACAACTGTTAATTGTATTTACTCAAATTCCGTTGATCGAAGAATTGTCATATTCAATCTTAACTTAGATCTCAACATTATAATTTGCTCATACCAAATTTCATTGAAATCGGATGAAAACTGTACTTGTTCAAAAACAAATTTAAATTCGTTTTTCATAAATCGAGGGCAATAACTCAATAACCATTCATCAAAAGATAGCCAAATTCGAACTTGTCCAAGATCTCATCATTATAAATATCAACACCAAATTTGATTTAAATTGGATGAAAACTGTAGTCTTTATTGTGTTCACAAACAAATTTTGACGCGTTTTTCATAAGTCAAGGGCAATAACTCAAAAACCGTTCATCGAGAGATAGCCAAATTTGTACTTGTCCAAGATCTCATCGTTATAACTATTCACAACAAATTTCATTGAAATTGGATGAAAACTGTAGTCTCTATTGTGTTCACAACCAAATTTTGACGCGTTTTTCGTAAGTCAAGGGCAATACCTCAAAATAGATAGATATATGGATAGATATGCGTAGAGCGAACGAGGCCGTAGTCTGAGAAAAGGTACCCTATACTTACCGTGGAGGAAATTCTACAAGATTTGAACCAAAGCAAAGTATATAGTAAACTTGATAATAAGTGGGCTTTTCATCAACTAGAGTTGTCACCAAATTCACGGGACATTAACGTATTTATGACTCATCAAGGACTATTCAGATATAAACATTTAATGTTTGGCATAAGTTGTGCGCCAGAAATGTACAACAAGATTATTCACCAGGCATTATGAGGTCTACAAGTCGTTAACAGTATTTACGATGATATTGTTGTCCATGGAAAGTCTGAGGAAGAACACGACAGAAACATAGAAAAGTTGCTTCACCGATTACAGGAAAAAGGACCCACTCTTAATATTGATAAATGTCAGTTCAATATGGAGCGTATAGAATTTATGGGACATACATTATCGGAACACGGTATTGGAGTGTCAGAAACCAAAGTTCAGGCGATTAAAGAAGCACGCAAACTGCAGACAGTCACAGAAGTTAAAAGTTTTATGGGACTTGTAAACCTTTACCGGAAGATTTATTCCGAATTTATCTACTATTGCCGAACCGTTAAACAGACTTATGCGAGACACCAGTCGTTTAATTGGGGACCAGAACAGCTAGGATATCGCATTCAACAAATTGAAGAATTGTTTAGCGAGTGATTCAAGCCTAGCGTATTTTGATATAAATGCTGAAACCCAAGTGATAGCCGATGCTAGTCCAGTTGGCTTGGGTGCCGTACTTGTTCAGAAACAAGGATTTTTTCACCTAAATCAAAACCGTGCCCAAGAGTAGAACGTTGGGTTCTGAGAATGCAGACTTATGATTATGTTGTGAAACACATATCGGATGCGAAGAATATTGCTGATTCTTTGACACGCCTGCTGTCTACAAAAGAACAGAAGCCGATAGACAGCGAAACAGAAGAGTATTTGCGTATGATAGTGGATGAATCCACCCCTGTTGCTATGAACATTAACAAAATAGAGCGATGTTCCACTACTGACGAGGAATTCGAGGACATTCGAAAATGTTTACGAAATGGTCGATGGTTTGATCTGAAATATAAAAAATATTTGACTGTTAAATCTGAACTGTGTGCTTTAGGAAATTTAGTACCTCGTGGAACCAGGATAGTGGTACCAACTGGACTCCGAGACCGTATTTTGAAACTTGGTCATGAAGGTCATCCAGGCATGGTTATAATGAAGCAGCCTGTGTCGAAACCAGAGAACACGGTTACTGTTGCGACCACGGGACCATCTTGCAGCCGATTGTTTGGGACCGTTTATTTTAAACAGTATTGTGAACAAAACGGAATAATACATCGAAGGATAACTCCATTGTGACCACAAGCGAATGGCGAAATAGAATGACAAAATAGATCATTCTTGAAATGGCTTAAAATCGCACACACCGTTCGACCCCACATACAACAACTGGAGACAGCCCAGGAGAGTTACTTTTTGGAAGGAAACTACATACGAAGTTACCCTAACTAGAAAAAACAGTGGACGATTTTGAAGTATGAGACAAGGATCAGGAAAATAAGGAAAAAGGCAAAATGTACGGCGACAAAAAACGAAACGCTGTAAATAGTTCGTTACAACTGGGAGATAAAGTGCTTCTGAAACAGAAAAAGGAAAATAAACTTTCCACAACATTCCATCCGAAACCTATGATGTTATTAAAGAAAAACGGAAATAGTGTTATAGTGCAATCGGATGAAGGTGTTCAATATAAGAGGAATATAACACAAGTAAAAAAATTTGAGACCCAAGTTTTTTAAAGCAAAATGTGTTTAATGAAAATGTGTCAAATCATAATGAATATGTGTTAAATGAAAACGTGTCAAATCAAAATGAAAATGTGTTAAACGAAAATATGTCAAATCAAAATGAAAATGTGTCAAATGAGGAAAATGTGTCAAATGAGAAAAATGTGTTAAATGAAAGTCAGTCTTTGGAAAATTCAAATGAGGCTTATTCAGATGAGAAATCGGAGAAACCTATCGCAATAAGCAGGCCGACTAGAATTCGTTAACTGCCAGAGAAGCTGAACGATTACATATTGACCTAGTTAATTAAAACTTGTGAATAAATATGTTTTCAAATAATTTTTTGTTTATAAGTATTAACGGCAATTTTAGAAAGACATTTCAGTTTTCAATACTTTTTGTGGTTTTTCCAAAGACAATTAAGTGTAGCAAAAACTACTTCATTTCATTTAATTTAGATAAAAGAAAGGGATTGTAGTATCATAAATGAAAGTCAGATAACTCTGTCACTCTTAGCAAGGCTTTATTAGTTATGCAAGAGTTATCTACGTCTAATCGAAGATTGATTATTATGTATAATGCACATGTTATGTAGACCAGATGTTGATGTTTTCTAAGAAGTAAAGTCGTACTTTAAATAGTGTTTTGTCTTTATGCATGTTATGGTTAAATCCAGTGTCATAGTCCATGAGAGACATTACAGGTATGATTAATCGTATGAATGGATACGATGAAGAAGGTTATAGTTTTGATGATTTAAATTTTATGTAAAAATTCTTAAATCAACTAGAATAGCAGGACCATAAAATTTAAGAAAACTGGAAGAAGAATTAGAAAAATTGTATTACAGTGATAGTAAATTACAATGATGTCAATTACAGTGATGACAACTACAATGACAACATTATAATTGAAATGGATAACTTTATGGAAATTGTGTAATTTTTTTACCAGATAACAAAGAGGAATAAGCTTAATAGATTACAAATAATATTAGCAGGAATGAAAGAAGGTCATCAGTTAGATAAACAATTTAATGAAGTAAATTGCATATTAAAAAGGCTCCTAGAGAAAAAGATCATCAATAAAAATAACTACAAAAATATTTTGAAAATTATTCAATAAAGATAGCTTGCCAGGCAAGGTAATATATGCCCACTGGCAGCTTTGATTTTGAACATAAATATTTAGCAGTACAGTAACAATCACCAGTATGAAATATTCAACCTTCAGTCATACACTTCTTTTGAACTCTTTAGGGCGATACTGAATAATATTGAGTATGAGTTATTGCCCTAGTTCTTGAAAACGTGTTCAATCTTAAGCTCGTGAGAACTCTAGAAGACAAATATTCAATCTTCAGCGCGGTAATGAATAATAAAACAAGTTTTGTCAAAATTCGGTAAGAATCATGCCCTCTAGAGTTTTTATGAGCTACAAATTTAACGAGTTTTCAAGATCAAGGGCAATAACTCATCCTAATATTTTTTCGATTTTTCTCATTTTCAATAAGCTTTATCCATGGGTGATAACAAACACTCAAGCCAAATTTCGTTAAATTATGCCTTCTAGAGTGTTTACAAGCTAAAAATTGAACGCGTTTTCAAGAATAAGGGCAATAACTCATACTCAATATTTTTAGACTCTTCTGATTTTCAATAGGGTTCATCCTTGGGTGATAACCAACACTCAAGCCAAAATCGTTAAAATCCGTCCAGAATTGTCCCTTCTAGAGTGTTTACAAGCTAAAAATTGAACGTGTTTTCAAGAATAAGGGCAATAACTCATACTCAATATATTTAGACTCTTCTGATTTTCAATAGGGTTCATCCTTGGATGATAACCAACACTCAAGCTAAAATCGTTAAAATCCGTCCAGAATTATCCCTTCTAGAGTGTTTACAAGCTAAAATTTGAACCATTTTCAAGAACAAGGGCAATAACTCATACTAAATATTTTTCAATTTTTCTGTTTTTCAATATGGTTTATCCATGGGTGATAACCAACACTCATGCCAAGTTTCGTCAAAATCCGTAAAGAATTGTGACTTGTAGCATGTTTACGAGCTAAAAATCGAACGCGTTTTGAAGTACAAGGGCATTAACTCATATTAAATATTTTTCGATTTTATCGATTTTCAATATCGTTTAGCGAATATTAGCAAATCCGAAAAGAATTGTGACTTGTAGAGTGTTTACGAGCAATTGTGGACCGACGGACATGGGTGACGGCAATATACGCTCCATATTTCATGTGGGCGTATAAAAAAGTTCTGATATGAATTGCCACAAATGTAAGCTACCCGAATGTGACAATTTCTGTATAAGTCATTAAAATAATGTTGTCAGAAAAACATTGTTAATCATGTGACCTACCAAATGTATTTCCTTATTACAAACAAATACACTCATATCGGCCCAGCTATATATACCGAGTTAATATCAACTCGCAATATCGTTACATGATTTTAACCGACATTAACATGGCTCCTCAAAAATTCAGACAAATAAAAAGTTTGGATGATTTTTCCAGTACAAATAAAGTCCTCCTAAAGTCCTTTTAACACCAAATATTGTCTATTCACAAAACACTATGTTCATCAAGTTAAACATCTTTTGGTACTAGGAATATTTATTGGTTAGCAGCTCTCGAGAATACCATTCATTTTCGTTTGGTAGTTGCACTGTTACGTTTTAGTTTAATGTCACCTCTGGTTGTAGCCACATCCACCTTTCTCACTAAACCATCTTGACTGGGATATACATTTTCAATGATCATCAAAGGCCATGTATTTCTTCTACTAAAAGGACTATGTCTCGAACTATTAAGTTACCAACTGGTTTATGCCATTTCTGTTACGGTTGATTGTGTTGAAGAATTTCTTTCTTCCAACTGGACCAGAATTTGTTAATGGTGTACTGGGCTTTTTTCCACTGTTTATGAAGGTACAAATCTTGTCTGTTAAATACACCTGGTGGTGGTAATACAACACCAGATTTCATGTTTAATATATTAGCCAAAGCTAGTGGTTTCAATTCAGGATCGGCTATGGATTTGACAGTTGGTGGTCTTGCGTTGATAATAGCTTCAGCTTCTACCATTAAAGTAGTTAATGATTCATCATTTAGTTGTTTTTCATGTTGATGAAGTAAAGCTTTGAAAACTCATCTCATACTATGAATCTGGCGTTCCATGTGGTACATAAGGGATACTTGCAATCAAACAGCTTCAAAAGGTCTTCTTTAATAAGAGATTGATTCAATTCTGCTGTTAGCTTATCTAATTCTGTAGCAGCTCCAATAATCTGGCTACCACGATCCGAACGATTACGATTACTTTAACAGAGTCTGTTGTCCTTGTGTGTAGTATTTCGATGTGGACTGCTCTACTGGATTGACAAGAAAATATCAAACCATATCTTTAACTGCAGATCTTCAGAGTTTTATGTAAAATGTTCCGAAGAGGTAGCAAGCTGAGTAGGTGAATGGTGGTGACTATGTAACTCGATCATCTGGTAAATCGTTCATCATCTGTGGAGTCGGTCTGCCTCGTAATTAAGAACAAGTGATACTTTTAGATATAGAGTGTCTAACTGCTGCAGGTCCATTAATTAACCAATATTTATTTATTGAGTTGAGGTTGATGTTTCGCCCAGAATGTGCTTGTTGTTGGTGGTACTATTGAATTATCAATAGAATTAAGTGTTTTTTTCTTCGGTATGTGATCCAGGATCCGCCAACCTTTCTTCCTTCTGTGCGTTTTTGGATCAGCAACCACCCCTCAGTCTCCATCTAAGTCGAGACGTGTATCCAGACCTTCCCCTCCTCGAACCAGATCCCAGTCCGTTCCCAATGCTACAATTCTAACAACTACCAAACCAGTACCAATCACACCGTCGACGACCATTATATCCGCTACCAAACCGTATTATCACCAAACCAAGGACAAATCATTATGGAAACTACTGCTCTAAAGAAATCTACCTTAATAATTGGATCATCTAACCTGAATCGAATTACCAAAACCAGTTCAGACACCGAAATACATTCTTACCCCGGTGCCCAAATCCATCACATACAGTCAATCCTGGAATCATACGACCATGATCCCAAACCTAATACCATTATTCTTCATGTAGGCCTCAACAACCGTGATCAGATACCAAAGACCTCCTTTAACCAAGCCCAGAAATTAATCGCCACAGCCAACAAAACCTTCCCAAACTCCAAGATCCTCTTCACATGTATACCCATTTCAAATAAAATCTCGAAGAAAGCACAACAGAACCTCAGCACCCTCAACAACATGATGATGGAGTCCAGTATCAACAGCGCAACAATCTTACCACCCTACGAAGAAGAATTCGAAACAGTTGATAATCTTCATTGGTCTCCAGAAACAGCAAACAGCATCTATTTGTTTTGGATACACCAGCTTCAAGCATCGAGTAAGTCTTTAAACTAATTACTGGGGAAAAAAATACTGAGAGTCCACCGCTAGGCCAAACTGTAGTTAACTTGAGCCGCGAAATTCTCACACCCCTTCAGCATTCAATCTTAGACCGTGGACTTAAGTTTATTCCCACACCAAAGATAGCTAACTTGAATTATCTCCGACCATCTTAGCTGCACATATTTTTTTCGAAACCACCCCCCACGTGGTGCTAGAACAATGTTTATTCCTAAATCCACGTGGACACCCCCTCAGGCCGCCATCCATCCTGAAATATTGAAAGCATTTGCGAGTATGAATAGCCAAACAGTGAACCTTTCCATAACACACGAAAAGCCTAATCTCACACGAGTGGAACGGGAAGCATTAAACTTACTTAAGAAAGATGATAGCATTGTTATTAAAAAGAGTGACAAAGGTTCATGTTGTGTCATTCTGAATAGGGAGGATTACGTTTCAGAAACAGAGAATCAACTGAATAATCCTAAACATTTTACCGAAACCAATTTTCAAAGAAACTGCTAACATGATTAATAATATTCTTGCCGATTAAGTCAAAACTAGTTATCTCAAACAGAAACAATATGACTATCTGTCTGCCAAACCTGATTGTCGCGAGAGACATTTGTACACTTTGCCTAAAATCCATAAGAATCCAACCAAGGAGTGGTTTATCTCGAATAAAATCCCTAAAGGCCGCCCGATTATATCTGACTGTGGTAGTGAGTCATATGCAGTGTCAGAATACATTGATCATTTCTTACTACCTCTAGCATGCCAACATCGCGCCTACCTTAAAGACACAACCGATTTTGTCAATAAAATAAAAATCTTCGAGTTCCCTCTAATGCCATTTTAATTTCTATCGACGTTTCTTCTATGTATACCAATATCGATAACACTACTGGTTTAACGGCAGTTCGGAAAGCTTTTAATAGAAACCCAGATCCAAACAGACCCGACGATGTAATTCTACAGCTTTTAGAGATTTGTCTTAGTCGAAACGATTTCACATTTAATGGTAAAACATATTTACAAACTTCAGGGACAGCAATGGGCAAACAATTCGCCCCTTCGTACGCAAATCTTTTCATGGCAGAGTGGGAACGTGAGGTGTTGCCCCTCTGTCCATTTGACCCACTTTTTTACGGACGCTTTTTGGATGACATTTTTATGGTTTGGACTTATTCTATCGAACAGTTTTGGGAATTCTTTGAAATTCTCAACAACCACCATCCTTCTATCAAACTAACCGCAAAAGTGAGTGACAAAAGCATAGAATTTCTCGATACCACAGTCTTTAAGGGAGATTCCATAGCAGAAACAAATAAACTGGATATTAAAGTGTATTTCAAAGAAACTGATTCTCATCAACTCTTGCACAAGAGCTCCTTTCACCCAAAACATACCTTTTCTGGTATAATTAAGTCACAAGTTTTACGATTTCATCGAATTTGTACAAGATCTTCTGATTTCAACCAAGCCTGTACGATTGTTTTCTCAAAACTGAAAGTGCGTGGGTACTCTAAACGATTTTTATGAAACATAAAAAATTCCACCTTAGCACAGATAGCAGCTAAAAACAGACTTTATGCCGAAGTACCTCCAGGTTTAAGAAGTGCTCCATGTTTGTCCAGTAGATGCAAAACATGTCCCTTTATATCAGAAACTCATTATTTTGTAAGCAACTCTACGAATAAAAGGTACCCGATCCAGGAACATCTAACATGTGAACATTCGAATGTAATATATTTAATTTCATGCAAGAAATGCCCCAAACAATATGTAGGAGAAC